CATTTATAAATAGTTCCTCTGGGTCGAGGCTGTTCTGGCAGCGTATAATCTCAGAGCGTCTCTCGCCGCGCTAGCTCTCCGTTTACCGCGGTAATTGGCTGATGAGAGGCTCGGGTCCTAAAAAGAATGTCAGTGTTCGATTTCCCGGGATCCTGAGTGAGGATATGTCACCATTTACGGCGGTTTGGGGTGACACCGGGAGCTCTGGGGAAATCATTACTCTGTTTATACCTCTCCCCTGCCGCCACGCTCTTCCCGCTGATATTTTCACCATGTTTTTCCACTGAGTGATGGTGCCTCACCGGGGTCGCACAGAACAAGTCCCTTTTGTAAATGTGTGACCATATTTTAACGGGCGAAAGAGAAAAAGGCAGACAATTGGTGACGCTCGGCGGGAGGGCCTGGAGCGGTCGATGCCGTCCCGCGGACGCCATATTGATTCCCGGGCAGAACACACTCTTCTGGAGCCCATTGCTGAATTCGGACTTTTTATTCCACTTTTTTGACTTGTTCACTGTGAATAATGCAGTCACAATTTGAAGGTTCATAGATTTTTCTGCACTGATCGTGATTTTAATAACCCTGTGTTTATTGCCATGTGTAACGACTGTTCAACGCTGGATAAATCAATGCTAGAAAACGAGAAGTGTGTTTCTGAAAGAGAAGCTGCATTTATTTGATCATAATACAGTAAAACAGTGAAATATTATTCTAATGTAAATCATCAATTGTGAATATACAGTAAAGTGTAATTCATTCCTGTGATTTTTCAGCATCAGAATCTCATGATCCTTCAGAAATCACTCTAATATGAGCATCTGATGCTCAAGACATGAAAGCATGATTAAAGCATTTTTATATTTTTGTGCAAATCGTGGAAAATTAATACTTTTATTCTTCAAAGACACATTAAATTGATCAAAAGTGACAGTAAAGACATTTATAGTGTTACAAAAGATTATATTTCAAATAAAGGCCACAGAAATATGAACACTGATAATAATCATAAATGTGTGTTGATCATCAGATCCTCATATTAGAGTGATTTCTGAAGGATCATGTGACACTGAAGACTGGAGTAATGATGCTGAAAATCACAGGAATAAATTACACTTTACTGTATATTCACATAGAGAACAGATGATTCACATTATTATAATATTTCACTGTTTTACTGTATTTATGATCAGATAAACGCAGCTTTAGAAGAGACTCTTCTTTCAGACACATTAAGAATCGTAATTGCTCCAAACTTTGGCCGGTCGTGTGTGTAAAACATCTGAAAGTGATTATTTGGTGAGTGAGTGGATCTGTGTGTGTGTGTGTGTGTGTGTGTGGAGGTGTCAGATTCGTCATGATGATTCCAGCTCTAATTGTAAAGACCTGCAGGACTGGATCTTTGGGGTGATAATTGTGGAGTTGCGGCGGGTTAGACGTGTCATTACCGGATCGATGCGGCAGAAACTGTAAATGATTCTCTTGTCAGCGGAGACGGCCGAGACGTCAGACACACACACACACACACACACACTCGCAGAATCCATACGCAACGCTGACAATATCATATAAAAGCAGACCACGGGTTATGGATTATATGAAACGTTAGAGGAGGACGACTGCGATTACTCGTTAATGTGAGTCAACAGTGATGATCCGACACAGTTTATCGAAGTTATTTAATACACACATCGCTTCAGCTCTACAGTAAAGGCTCGTTTAATGCGTCAGTTGTGGAAGGATATTACGGAAATATTAAGAGTTTCTCAATACATTGAAAAAATGACTTTGGGAACACTGTTTAAAGCCTTTATAAATATACATATATAAAATAAAGTAAAATATATATATAAATAAAATATATAAATATATATATATGCAATGATTAATCGCATCCAAAATAAAAGTTTGTGTTTACATAATATACTGTATGTGGGGTGCACTGTGTATAATTATTTTGTATATATATATAAACTCTAAATATATATATATATATATATATATACATGCATGTATATTTAAGAAAAAAATAGTATTTATATATAAAATATTTATATATAATATAAATTATATATAAATCTATGTACAGTATATACATGAAAATATTTCTTTAAATATATACAATTATGTGTCTGTGTGTGTATATATATATAATTATACACAGTGCACCCCACATATATTATGTAAACACAAACTTTTATTTTGTATATGATTAATCGCGATTAATCTTTTGATAGCCCTAATAAATGTGTGTGTGTGTCTGTATTGTGTATAATTGTTTTGTATATATAAATACACACATGCATGTATATATTAAAAAATATGTGTATATATATATATATATATATATATATATACACACAGTATAGACATGCAAATATTTCTTAAATATATACAAGCATGTGTGTGTATTTATGTATGCAAAATAATTATACACACATATATATTTATGTAAACACACTTTTTTTGGAATGCTATTAAATATATATATACACATTTAATATTATATATAAGTATTTTTAACGCACCTTATGATGCATTGTCTATTCATTGTTACACAGAAAAATATAATGGATTTAAACAAACAATTTAACAAGGAATCTGTCAATATAATACAGTTTAACTTTGATTATTTATTTATGAAAACAAATATACAGTAATGCCTGAAGTGTTATGATGTTCTTCCTCAGTGTTTCTGTCTCGTTTTCCAGCTCAAACATCCAAACATTCTCAAATCAAGAGACGTTTAGTGGAGAAGAACAGAGACTGAAGATATTAAGACTGAAAAGTGAGTGAGTTTGTGAAGTCATCTAGAGTCATCTTTGTATTGTTTATCATTGTTGTTGTAAGCACAGACTCCTCATTATGATGCATGTTTCCTCAAACACGTCTTGATATGTTGGTGATGGTTGTTCTCCGGGAAGGCCTGGAGGTTTGGGAATGCCGTGCGCTGGAGACAGGCCTGAGGAGGACCAGCGCTCCGGCTCTATCAGCCTCAGTTTCACAGCTTCTGCCAGCCTGATTTGTCTGCTCTTGACCTTTCCAGCGATCTGTCCCATCATGCATCAGGAGCGCTCCTCAGGGACTCCAGTAATGAAGCCTGTCATCTCCGCTCACCTCCACGCCGGACACACACTCGGATCGGACGGATCCCGCATCGATCCCCTGCTCGTCTCCCAGAAGTCCTCCAGGAGCTCCTCAGATCTGCACTTGTTGTGCTGAGGCGTTCTAACAGGTCAGGTGTGCGAGTCTTTAACCCAGCCGAACATCGAACACACTCATATATCTGTGTAATCAGCAGTCACGATTATAGCAGAGGCAAACAGCTTTTATTTTATTATGATAGAAACACAACAAGCTGAGAGGAAAAAGCAAACATTGATTAAAACATATTCGTTATTAATATTTTGGCATTAAAGCATGTGTTCATCAGTTCTCTAATTGACAGCCTTGAGAGAAAGGATAATTCGTCATGTTTCATTGCGTTATTATCTCTAACACAATCGACTGCAAGCACACATGATTTACACCATGACCGTATGATTACAAAATCTTTAATAATATTTGAGTAAAGGATGAAGATGTCCGTTTCTAAGGCCGGATGTCACTTTTGTCTACTACTGTAGATTTAAAGCATTTATTAATCTTAGTTAATTGTTAAAATCTATTAAATGTGTAAATATAGCAAAATATTAGGTAAATGAAATAAATTTTAATTTTAAATCTCGAGTGTGAGGGAATAAAACTCCAGCTACAGGTTTTGTTTTATTTTGCGAAATGCATGCATAGAAAAACAACAAGCATACATGGATTAAAACAATTAATCAAATTAATATTTTGGTTGGTTCTCTCTTGTTTTTGCATGTGTTCATCATTTCTCTAATCGACAGCCTCAACAAAAATGATAATTGGTCATGTTTCATTGCGTTATTATCTCAGACACTTCAGTCGACTCAAAGCACACATATGCAATATGATTAAAAAATCTTTAATAATATTTTAATAAAGGATGATTTCATTTATCATTTATTAATCTTAGTTCATTTTAATATTAACTAATTTTTAAAATCAAAAGTTGTATATTACATTGTTTATGTATATATATACACGTGTATATATATTTTTTAATGGACCTCAGATTAATGCAGCATGTTTTGCTCATTGTTAATCAACATTAACTTGAGGTTTTTGCACACAAATAAAGAATATAAATCACATTCAAGAGAAAAGTCTTTTATTTCGAGACGGCAGCAAAAGCTTTTGATGATTTCATAAATGTATTTCCAGTCATAAAGTCAACATGAAATCAAAACCGACACAATTTTCTTTCTTAATTATAACATTTCCATTGTAGATTAGACTTTTTCACCATCGGTTGCTTGTAGAATATTTAGTTTCATTCTGAAATAGGAGGATAAATGCGTTTATGCTGATTTTAGGAACGGACAATAACACTCTATAACTGATATCTTTAATATGGAGGATTGTGAAATCTAAACTTTCTTTCAGACAGTTTATACTCTACCATTCAAGAGTCTCTTCTGCTCACCAAAGCTGCGTTTATCTGATCATAAATACAGTAAAACAGTGAAATATTATTCTAATGTGAATCATCTGTTCTCTATGTGAATATACAGTAAAGTGTAATTTATTCCTGTGATTATCAGCATCATTACTCCAGTCTTCAGTGTCACATGATCCTTCAGAAATCACTCTAATATGAGGATCTGATGATCAAGACACAGTTATGATTATTATCAGTGTTCATAATTCTGTGGAAACTGATACATTTTATTTTTCAGGATTATTTGATGAATAGAAAGTTCAAAAGAACAGTGTTTATTTGGAAACAGAATCTTTTGTAACATTATAAATGTATTTACTATCACTTTTGATCATTTAATTCACCTTTGATGAATAAGAATATGTATATATATATATATATATATATATTTTTTTAATATTACTCACTCTATACTTGGACAAAATGAAACAAATTGACATCAATTTAAATAGACTTTATTGAAACAGAGACTGTTATTTGTGTTCCTAAAGGTCATTGGAAACAAAGTTCAAAGTCATAATTTAAATCATCAACATTTGGAACAGAATTCAAGTATGTGTCTCTTATGGCACGTGCAGTTATTAATACACAGGTTATAATCGAACAGGTGTACAGTGGCGATCACATGACACTCACAGTGCATAGAGTTTAAGAGGAGGACCTAACGAGCACAACACGGATATGAAGATGAAGTGTGTGTGTGTGTGTGTGTGTGTGTGATCAGTCATGTTCACCATCCCTCCACTTCCACCACGAGCGGATCCTTCACCTCGATCTTCCCACTGTTGACGATCACACACTCGGTGTAGGGCAGGTTACGCTCGTTCGTGTCCTGGAGTTCAATGGTGTGAACCACAGCCTGCAGACACACACACACACCGTCATCCGCTCGCAGCGCTGCCATTGGTTCACTACTCCAGTGACATCATTCACTCTGCCATTTAATGTGTACAGATGTTACAGGAGGGCTCTATCAAACACATTTCACTGTTTCCCAGATTGCATCTTTTTCTCTTTTTTTTTTTAATTTTTTTTTTTCTGTTTTAATTTTTTGGTTTCTATTTTTTCCTCCTATTTAAATGTTCCTGAATTTAATGGTGCAATTAAAAAGTGCAATTAATTGAAATCATGAAACTTAAACTTTAAATAAATTGTTACATTTTCTAATAATATAAAAAAAATTTTTTTAGGTCTCTATGAAATATTTAAGCCGCTAATGAGAGATCTATATCTATGATGTAATATCTCACACACCGCTGTTGTGTTGTTCAGTCATCAGGTCACGATTATAGATTGGCGAGTACAGAAAAAAAAAAAAACGTAAACGTAGATCAACTTTTGGGACAAACGGAGAAATAAAAGACGTTTTTGAGATGTTTCGAGAGTTTTGTCACAAACTTGACTTGATTCGTCCACAGAGACTCCGCTCGCGCGTGTTAGACATGTTAGCAAATATATAATATTTACTGTACACTACAGTTACATTGCAGTTTGTTTGTACTTCAGTAACACACATCTGGCGAACGAGTCTATGGCAGTGAAATTAAATAGATTTTGCACAAAAATATTTAGCCATTACTTGCAAAAACTGTGTTAGTTCAAACGCACTTTTAGCACGATTGTTTTAAACGTGTAAAACTGCAGCATTAACACACCAAATCATTTGAACATTACTCACACATCAGTAGCATCGAATATGGTATTACATCTCACGCTCCTGGCAGCTTATTCATTACGATAACGTAACGCAGTGTGATCAAACGTACAGGTGATACAAAAACTCATTTAATAGCTGATATGTCATTAATATGATTCATGAATTCTATATATCTCCCATCGCTCCGCTCTCCCTCATACGTCATCAAGCTTCGCCTTCGTTATCGTTTTGAAAATACAATATTTTGTATATATACAATATATCCTGCTGGCGACAAATGACGTATTGCAGCTTTAAAGGAGGAGTTCACTTTTGAAAAAACTTTTGCTGATAATTTACTCACCCCCGTGTCATCCAAGATGTCCATGTCTTTCTTTCTTCAGTCGAAAAGAAATTAAGGTTTTTGATGAAAACATTCCAGGATTTTCTCCATATAATGGACTTCAATGGGGTCCAAACGGTTCAAGATCCAAATGAGAGTTTCAGTGCAAACTGTTCAAAGGGCTTTAAACGACACCAGACGATGAATAAGGGTCTTATCAAGCGAAACGATCGCTCATTTAATAAATAAATAACAAAGTTTAAGTTTTATAAGCTCAAATGCTCGCCTTGCTCTGTTCTGTGATGCGCGTTCGTGACTCTCCTGTTCGAACTCGTTCATCAAAATGAACAAATCTTTTTCCGAGTCATTTGGTTGATTCAACGAACGAAATGAACGAATAGACTCGGGAAAAGATTTGTTCATTTTGATGGATTTACTGATGTTTGCAATGAAACTGTCTTTTGGACCTTGAACCGTTTGGACCCCATTGAAGTCCATTATATGGAGAAAATGCTGGAAAGTTTTAATCAAAAAACTTAATTTCTTTTCCACTGAAGAACGAAAGACATGGACATCTTGGATGACACGGGGGTGAGTAAATTATCAGCTAAAGTTTTCTTTAAAAGTGAACTCCTCCTTTAATATTAATATGCCAGTAAATTAAATGTTTCCGACTGGATTCTGTGTTTGCGTCTGAAATCATCGAGCCCCAAATGTGTGTGTTTCAGGAATCCTACCATCCCCTCCAGGACTTTCCCGAACACCACGTGTTTCCCGTCGAGCCACGGCGCTCGGGCTAGCGTGATGAAGAACTGCGAGCCGTTGGTGTCGGGCCCGGCGTTCGCCATGCTGACCCAGCCGGCGCCCAGATGCCGGAGCCGGAAGCTCTCGTCCGCAAACGTGCTCCCGTAGATGCTCTTCCCTGAGGACAGACCTGAGATCAGTCCACGTCCGTTACGGCGGCGCGTTGCCTGCATAGTCACTTAAAGGGATAGTTCACCCAAAAAAATGTCAACTTCCTCGTGTCGTTCCCTGTAAAGGTCCTTTCACACTGGACGCCATTTTGACGCATGAATAATTTGCGCGATGGTTTTATTTTTTGATCAGCTGTTTGTGTAATGAGTGCTTCCACACCGAACGCCAATGTGCTGCGGCGGAAAAACTAATTTTTGAAAAAATTTTTTTACTTTTGTGGCGACAGAAATGGCTTCAGCCAATCACATACAAGGACAAAGGCGGAGCTGTTGACGCTTTGGCCGCTCTGGCGTAGCAGCGTGATGTGCGAGAGGACAGAAGTGTCACAACATGAAATGTAAACTAAAAACAAGCTAAAACTAAAACCCCTCGACCGATCGACTGTAAAGCTGAATAATCCGTCAGATACAGCATGTGAACGCGGGTTCGAAACACACACGTGCCGTGTCATCATGCATGTGCTTTACATCATACGATACGTTTATGTCTCGCATCTTAAAACACTTAAAATCCAGACTGATTCGCTGACGTCCCCATTAAGTTCTGAAAACATGTAAACGTCCAGTTTATTAACGGTTTTAAAAACGTTTTCTTGTGAAGGTTAAACATTCCTTTTTATTTTGGGAATGTTTCTTCTCGGATGATGAACGTTCTCCAACAAGAAGGAACATAAAAAAGCGTTAGATGAACGTCCAACTAAAGCGCTCCATGATCCATGTATGAATGATGTTTTTGTGCTGATGTTTTGAGAACGTTATTGAAGACCAGAGAACTTTGAGCAAATATTATATTAACGTTACTGAAGAACGTTTGTTCATAACTTGCCAGAAGCTCTTCTGATATATACGTGAGCTTTCTATCTCAATAACGTCTTTAAGGCTTAAAGAACAGTAATATACCCATCATCACACGTCTGTCTCTGGTTCTGTGATGCACATGTGACTGATCGTTTAGGGTTCGTATGAGCGGATCAGATTCACTCCTAATGACCAAAATCAGTGCATGGAAAACGTTCCTATAGTCTAAAAAATCCATTTATTTCTACATTTGCACTGCAGATTGTGTGTGTTTCAGAGAGGAGAGTCATGTGTGGACTGACACGAGTGTGTGTGTGTGTGTGTGTGTGTGTTCCTCACCCCCGGTTCCGTCGCCGGATGTGAAATCTCCTCCTTGGATCATGAAGTCCTTGATCACACGATGGAACTTGCTGTCTTTATACCCGTAACCCTTCTGGAGAGAGAGTCTGTGTTAGATGATCCGCGTGTGTGTGTGTGTGTGTGTGTGATGGTGAGTTCTACCTCTCCTGTGGCGAGAGTCAGGAAGTTCTGCACGGTGAGAGGAGCGAGTTCTCCGAACAGACCAATCACGATCCTGCCAACCTCGTGTCCTCCGACAGTGATGTCAAAAAACACCTGCAAAGGAAAGAGAAGAACACACCTGATACACTGTGTGTGTGTGTGTGTGTGTGTGTGTGTGTGTGAATATATATATATATATATATATATACACAGAGGTGTATAAAAAAGGTTAATCTAAGTTGTCCTAATATAAGTGGGTATTGTTCAAAATTCAAGTATAACTTAAATTTGATCCACTTCAAATGTTGACTACTGTAAATATATATATGTGTGTGTGTGTGTGTATATGTATGTTTGTGTGTATGTTCTGTGTGAAGTTTAAAAAAATCTGTTTTTTTTTTGCATAAACTATAAAATCACATTAAAAAGTATAAATTCAATTGTGCTTTTTATGTGCTCACTGTGTGTGTGTGACCATAGACTGTCGAAAAAGACACATTTAGTGAACACATCAAAAGCCACACTTGAATTTATACTGTTTTATGTGAATGCATAAAAAAAGACAACAACAGAAGTATTATATAATGTAAATATTAGTATTCAATGCGAGATGCATTTACAAACACGCATGCGCACAACACACCGATCTGTCAACGCTTAAAAGACTAGCATGCACCGCAGGTTTAACGTTTGTGTGTGTGTGTGTATGAATGATGGTTTTGCAGTTCTCGCAGTGATGCTTCAGGACGCCTCGCGTCGCGTCGCTCTTGTGTTCGCACTGATGCTGCATGACGCGCGTCTCACCTTGTCCGTTACTTGCGGTCCCTTCCGCGTCTTAAAATCAATAGCGCTGCATAAAAACGGCAAATAAATGAGAGTAAACGCGCGCCAGAGCCGAAGCAGGTCCATATCTGAGTCTGAGTCTGAATATGATCCGCGTTTTTGTCTGAAGAGAGAATCTGCGGCGCGCGCGTTTTCCTGTGTGACGCTCCTCCTCCGGGGCGCGCGCGCGTCACGACGCACAGTGTCTGAGGAATTTACTTGAAAAAAATAAAAACTGTGACGTGTACACACACAATATCTACAAAACCATCCTTTATGAACTGGTGTGTTCATGTATTTACCAGTGTACAGAAGGGGAGAAATATAAATAGACCATCAGCACTGCAGATGAAAAATTTTAACAAAAAAAATTCTAAAAAGCTGTGCAAGTTACTAGTGATTTTGGTTTGATTTCTAAAAACGTTTGAAATAAATCATAATAATATTGCTATCTAAAAACAACAGAAACTGAATGAATAAACTTAAAAATAAAGGCTCTTCATTTGCCTTTGGTGTAGAACCTTTAACATCTTTATTGTGGCAAAAAAGGTTCTTAACACTTAAAAATAAAGTTTTTGTGCAGGTTCCCCAAGGGAAACCGGAGAACATTTAACAAACTAAAGAACCCCTTTCCACTATAAAGAGCTTTTGTGAAGCGGAACAATTCCCGGAGCTCTTCCTCATCTGGTTTAGTGGATCATGCAGTGATCTTTAATGGAGATTTGAGCTCTTCCTCATCTGGTTTAGTGGATCATGCAGTGATCTTTAATGGAGATGAGAGCTCTTCCTCATCTGGTTTAGTGGATCATGCAGTGATCTTTAATGGAGATTTGAGCTCTTCCTCATCTGGTTTAGTGGATCATGCAGTGATCTTTAATGGAGATTTGAGCTCTTCCTCATCTGGTTTAGTGGATCATGCAGTGATCTTTAATGGAGATGAGAGCTCTTCTTCATCTGGTTTAGTGGATCATGCAGTGATCTTTAATGGAGATTTGAGCTCTTCCTCATCTGGTTTAGTGGATCATGCAGTGATCTTTAATGGAGATTTGAGCTCTTCCTCATCTGGTTTAGTGGATCATGCAGTGATCTTTAATGGAGATGAGAGCTCTTCCTCATCTGGTTTAGTGGATCATGCAGTGATCTTTAATGGAGATTTGAGCTCTTCCTCATCTGGTTTAGTGGATCATGCAGTGATCTTTAATGGAGATGCGAGCTCTTCTTCATCTGGTTTAGTGGATCATGCAGTGATCTTTAATGGAGATTTGAGCTCTTCCTCATCTGGTTTAGTGGATCATGCAGTGATCTTTAATGGAGATTTGAGCTCTTCCTCATCTGGTTTAGTGGATCATGCAGTGATCTTTAATGGAGATTTGAGCTCTTCCTCATCTGGTTTAGTGGATCATGCAGTGATCTTTAATGGAGATTTGAGCTCTTCCTCATCTGGTTTAGTGGATCATGCAGTGATCTTTAATGGAGATGAGAGCTCTTCCTCATCTGGTTTAGTGGATCATGCAGTGATCTTTAATGGAGATTTGAGCTCTTCCTCATCTGGTTTAGTGGATCATGCAGTGATCTTTAATGGAGATGCGAGCTCTTCTTCATCTGGTTTAGTGGATCATGCAGTGATCTTTAATGGAGATTTGAGCTCTTCCTCATCTGGTTTAGTGGATCATGCAGTGATCTTTAATGGAGATTTGAGCTCTTCCTCATCTGGTTTAGTGGATCATGCAGTGATCTTTAATGGAGATGAGAGCTCTTCCTCATCTGGTTTAGTGGATCATGCAGTGATCTTTAATGGAGATTTGAGCTCTTCCTCATCTGGTTTAGTGGATCATGCAGTGATCTTTAATGGAGATGAGAGCTCTTCCTCATCTGGTTTAGTGGATCATGCAGTGATCTTTAATGGAGATTTGAGCTCTTCCTCATCTGGTTTAGTGGATCATGCAGTGATCTTTAATGGAGATGAGAGCTCTTCCTCATCTGGTTTAGTGGATCATGCAGTGATCTTTAATGGAGATGAGAGCTCTTCCTCATCTGGTTTAGTGGATCATGCAGTGATCTTTAATGGAGATTTGAGCTCTTCCTCATCTGGTTTAGTGGATCATGCAGTGATCTTTAATGGAGATTTGAGCTCTTCCTCATCTGGTTTAGTGGATCATGCAGTGATCTTTAATGGAGATGAGAGCTCTTCCTCATCTGGTTTAGTGGATCATGCAGTGATCTTTAATGGAGATGAGAGCTCTTCCTCATCTGGTTTAGTGGATCATGCAGTGATCTTTAATGGAGATTTGAGCTCTTCCTCATCTGGTTTAGTGGATCATGCAGTGATCTTTAATGGAGATTTGAGCTCTTCCTCATCTGGTTTAGTGGATCATGCAGTGATCTTTAATGGAGATGCGAGCTCTTCTTCATCTGGTTTAGTGGATCATGCAGTGATCTTTAATGGAGATTTGAGCTCTTCCTCATCTGGTTTAGTGGATCATGCAGTGATCTTTAATGGAGATTTGAGCTCTTCCTCATCTGGTTTAGTGGATCATGCAGTGATCTTTAATGGAGATGAGAGCTCTTCCTCATCTGGTTTAGTGGATCATGCAGTGATCTTTAATGGAGATTTGAGCTCTTCCTCATCTGGTTTAGTGGATCATGCAGTGATCTTTAATGGAGATTTGAGCTCTTCCTCATCTGGTTTAGTGGATCATGCAGTGATCTTTAATGGAGATGAGAGCTCTTCTTCATCTGGTTTAGTGGATCATGCAGTGATCTTTAATGGAGATTTGAGCTCTTCCTCATCTGGTTTAGTGGATCATGCAGTGATCTTTAATGGAGATTTGAGCTCTTCCTCATCTGGTTTAGTGGATCATGCAGTGATCTTTAATGGAGATGAGAGCTCTTCCTCATCTGGTTTAGTGGATCATGCAGTGATCTTTAATGGAGATTTGAGCTCTTCCTCATCTGGTTTAGTGGATCATGCAGTGATCTTTAATGGAGATGCGAGCTCTTCTTCATCTGGTTTAGTGGATCATGCAGTGATCTTTAATGGAGATTTGAGCTCTTCCTCATCTGGTTTAGTGGATCATGCAGTGATCTTTAATGGAGATTTGAGCTCTTCCTCATCTGGTTTAGTGGATCATGCAGTGATCTTTAATGGAGATGAGAGCTCTTCCTCATCTGGTTTAGTGGATCATGCAGTGATCTTTAATGGAGATTTGAGCTCTTCCTCATCTGGTTTAGTGGATCATGCAGTGATCTTTAATGGAGATGAGAGCTCTTCCTCATCTGGTTTAGTGGATCATGCAGTGATCTTTAATGGAGATTTGAGCTCTTCCTCATCTGGTTTAGTGGATCATGCAGTGATCTTTAATGGAGATTTGAGCTCTTCCTCATCTGGTTTAGTGGATCATGCAGTGATCTTTAATGGAGATTTGAGCTCTTCCTCATCTGGTTTAGTGGATCATGCAGTGATCTTTAATGGAGATGAGAGCTCTTCCTCGTCTGGTTTAGTGGATCATGCAGTGATCTTTAATGGAGATGAGAGCTCTTCCTCATCTGGTTTAGTGGATCATGCAGTGATCTTTAATGGAGATTTGAGCTCTTCCTCATCTGGTTTAGTGGATCATGCAGTGATCTTTAATGGAGATTTGAGCTCTTCCTCATCTGGTTTAGTGGATCATGCAGTGATCTTTAATGGAGATTTGAGCTCTTCCTCATCTGGTTTAGTGGATCATGCAGTGATCTTTAATGGAGATGAGAGCTCTTCCTCATCTGGTTTAGTGGATCATGCAGTGATCTTTAATGGAGATTTGAGCTCTTCCTCATCTGGTTTAGTGGATCATGCAGTGATCTTTAATGGAGATTTGAGCTCTTCCTCATCTGGTTTAGTGGATCATGCAGTGATCTTTAATGGAGATTTGAGCTCTTCTTCATCTGGTTTAGTGGATCATGCAGTGATCTTTAATGGAGATTTGAGCTCTTCCTCATCTGGTTTAGTGGATCATGCAGTGATCTTTAATGGAGATTTGAGCTCTTCCTCATCTGGTTTAGTGGATCATGCAGTGATCTTTAATGGAGATGAGAGCTCTTCCTCATCTGGTTTAGTGGATCATGCAGTGATCTTTAATGGAGATTTGAGCTCTTCCTCATCTGGTTTAGTGGATCATGCAGTGATCTCTAATGGAGATGTGAGCTCTTCCTCATCTGGTTTAGTGGATCATGCAGTGATCTTTAATGGAGATTTGAGCTCTTCCTCATCTGGTTTAGTGGATCATGCAGTGATCTTTAATGGAGATTTGAGCTCTTCCTCATCTGGTTTAGTGGATCATGCAGTGATCTTTAATGGAGATGAGAGCTCTTCCTCATCTGGTTTAGTGGATCATGCAGTGATCTTTAATGGAGATTTGAGCTCTTCCTCATCTGGTTTAGTGGATCATGCAGTGATCTTTAATGGAGATGTGAGCTCTTCCTCATCTGGTTTAGTGGATCATGCAGTGATCTTTAATGGAGATGAGAGCTCTTCTTCATCTGGTTTAGTGGATCATGCAGTGATCTCTAATGGAAATGTGAGCTCTTCCTCATCTGGTTTAGTGGATCATGCAGTGATCTTTAATGGAGATGAGAGCTCTTCTTCATCTGGTTTAGTGGATCATGCAGTGATCTTTAATGGAGATTTGAGCTCTTCCTCATCTGGTTTAGTGGATCATGCAGTGATCTTTAATGGAGATTTGAGCTCTTCCTCGTCTGGTTTAGTGGATCATGCAGTGATCTTTAATGGAGATTTGAGCTCTTCCTCATCTGGTTTAGTGGATCATGCAGTGATCTTTAATGGAGATGTGAGCTCTTCTTCATCTGGTTTAGTGGATCATGCAGTGATCTTTAATGGAGATTTGAGCTCTTCCTCATCTGGTTTAGTGGATCATGCAGTGATCTTTAATGGAGATTTGAGCTCTTCCTCATCTGGTTTAGTGGATCATGCAGTGATCTTTAATGGAGATGAGAGCTCTTCCTCATCTGGTTTAGTGGATCATGCTGATCTTTAATGGAGATGCGAGCTCTTCTTCATCTGGTTTAGTGGATCATGCAGTGATCTTTAATGGAGATTTGAGCTCTTCCTCATCTGGTTTAGTGGATCATGCAGTGATCTTTAATGGAGATGAGAGCTCTTCTTCATCTGGTTTAGTGGATCATGCAGTGATCTTTAATGGAGATTTGAGCTCTTCCTCATCTGGTTTAGTGGATCATGCAGTGATCTTTAATGGAGATGAGAGCTCTTCCTCATCTGGTTTAGTGGATCATGCAGTGATCTTTAATGGAGATTTGAGCTCTTCCTCATCTGGTTTAGTGGATCATGCAGTGATCTTTAATGGAGATGAGTGCTCTTCCTCATCTGGTTTAGTGGATCATGCAGTGATCTTTAATGGAGATGAGAGCTCTTCTTCATCTGGTTTAGTGGATCATGCAGTGATCTTTAATGGAGATTTGAGCTCTTCCTCATCTGGTTTAGTGGATCATGCAGTGATCTTTAATGGAGATTTGAGCTCTTCTTCATCTGGTTTAGTGGATCATGCAGTGATCTTTAATGGAGATTTGAGCTCTTCCTCATCTGGTTTAGTGGATCATGCAGTGATCTTTAATGGAGATTTGAGCTCTTCCTCATCTGGTTTAGTGGATCATGCAGTGATCTTTAATGGAGATGAGAGCTCTTCCTCATCTGGTTTAGTGGATCATGCAGTGATCTTTAATGGAGATGAGAGCTCTTCCTCATCTGGTTTAGTGGATCATGCAGTGATCTTTAATGGAGATTTGAGCTCTTCCTCATCTGGTTTAGTGGATCATGCAGTGATCTTTAATGGAGATGAGAGCTCTTCCTCATCTGGTTTAGTGGATCATGCAGTGATCTTTAATGGAGATGAGAGCTCTTCCTCATCTGGTTTAGTGGATCATGCAGTGATCTTTAATGGAGATGAGAGCTCTTCCTCATCTGGTTTAGTGGATCATGCAGTGATCTTTAATGGAGATTTGAGCTCTTCCTCATCTGGTTTAGTGGATCATGCAGTGATCTTTAATGGAGATGAGAGCTCTTCCTCATCTGGTTTAGTGGATCATGCAGTGATCTTTAATGGAGATTTGAGCTCTTCCTCGTCTGGTTTAGTGGATCATGCAGTGATCTTTAATGGAGATGAGAGCTCTTCCTCATCTGGTTTAGTGGATCATGCAGTGATCTTTAATGGAGATTTGAGCTCTTCCTCATCTGGTTTAGTGGATCATGCAGTGATCTTTAATGGAGATGAGAGCTCTTCCTCATCTGGTTTAGTGGATCATGCAGTGATCTTTAATGGAGATTTGAGCTCTTCCTCATCTGGTTTAGTGGATCATGCAGTGATCTTTAATGGAGATGAGAGCTCTTCCTCATCTGGTTTAGTGGATCATGCAGTGATCTTTAATGGAGATTTGAGCTCTTCCTCATCTGGTTTAGTGGATCATGCAGTGATCTTTAATGGAGATGAGAGCTCTTCCTCATCTGGTTTAGTGGATCATGCAGTGATCTTTAATGGAGATTTGAGCTCTTCCTCATCTGGTTTAGTGGATCATGCAGTGATCTTTAATGGAGATGAGAGCTCTTCTTCATCTGGTTTAGTGGATCATGCAGTGATCTTTAATGGAGATGAGAGCTCTTCCTCATCTGGTTTAGTGGATCATGCAGTGATCTTTAATGGAGATGAGAGCTCTTCCTCATCTGGTTTAGTGGATCATGCAGTGATCTTTAATGGAGATTTGAGCTCTTCCTCATCTGGTTTAGTGGATCATGCAGTGATCTTTAATGGAGATTTGAGCTCTTCCTCATCTGGTTTAGTGGATCATGCAGTGATCTTTAATGGAGATGAGAGCTCTTCCTCATCTGGTTTAGTGGATCATGCAGTGATCTTTAATGGAGATTTGAGCTCTTCCTCATCTGGTTTAGTGGATCATGCAGTGATCTTTAATGGAGATTTGAGCTCTTCCTCATCTGGTTTAGTGGATCATGCAGTGATCTTTAATGGAGATGCGAGCTCTTCTTCATCTGGTTTAGTGGATCATGCAGTGATCTTTAATGGAGATTTGAGCTCTTCCTCATCTGGTTTAGTGGATCATGCAGTGATCTTTAATGGAGATTTGAGCTCTTCCTCATCTGGTTTAGTGGATCATGCAGTGATCTCTAATGGAGATGTGAGCTCTTCCTCATCTGGTTTAGTGGATCATGCAATGATCTTTAATGGAGATGAGAGCTCTTCTTCATCTGGTTTAGTGGATCATGCAGTGATCTTTAATGGAGATTTGAGCTCTTCCTCATCTGGTTTAGTGGATCATGCAGTGATCTTTAATGGAGATTTGAGCTCTTCCTCATCTGGTTTAGTGGATCATGCAGTGATCTTTAATGGAGATGAGAGCTCTTCCTCATCTGGTTTAGTGGATCATGCAGTGATCTTTAATGGAGATTTGAGCTCTTCCTCATCTGGTTTAGTGGATCATGCAGTGATCTTTAATGGAGATGAGAGCTCTTCTTCATCTGATTTAGTGGATCATGCAGTGATCTTTAATGGAGATTTGAGCTCTTCCTCATCTGGTTTAGTGGATCATGCAGTGACACTGATTGCAGTTTCTTCAGATTGAGCTCTTGTCACGATGGGTAACACACACAGACTCAGATGCCTCGAGCTTCAGTCATTGCACTGAATTGAGGAAGACAGAAGCAGAACGAGGTCTTTAGACCTGCTTCATCTTCACTGAAGGCTCAGAGATGAGCTTCTGTGCTTCTCCGTCAGAGTTACTGCATGAAAGCATCATGCAGATGTTTGCTTTAATCAAACTCAAGTAGCAGACTCGTGTCTGTTGCATGCAAGTACATTTTTAAAAATTACTTTTAAATAAAAATGCAATGATATAATACTATTAATCACATCCAATATAAAAGTTTGTGATTAAATAATATACGAGTTTACTGTGTAATAATTATTTTGTATTTATAAATATACATATATGCATGCATGTGTGTGTATATGTATATATATATGTATATATATATATATATATATATATATATATATATATATATGAAATAATTGCATGTATATAAAAATAAAATAAAAATTTTCCTTTTTTATATATATATATTTTTTTTTCTTAAATATATACATGCATGTGTCTTGTGTAAACACAAAGTTTTATTTTGGATGTGATTAATCGTTGCTCAGCACTAATAATCATGCAAATGAGATGTTGGCGTGTGTAAGTGTGATGACGTTGACAGGCTCTCGCGCGCCCCCTCTGACAGAATGACAGCACGCATTTAAATATTCAATGCGGATCATTAGAGTCAATGCAAATGAGCAGTAAATCACACACGAGCCTAACGAGTTGATCAGTTAATATCGATCATATTATTTTCCTTTCGTATTAAAGCATGCATTATTGTGAGTTGACTGTGCTAATATTGTCACAGGAAAGGAAAACACTACGAGTCCGAATGAGTTCAATTTTATCTCTCTATAAAGTGTCGCAAAAAGAGTTTTGTTAATGGATAAATAGCAAACGCGTTTTTGCATCATTAATAGACTGATGTAAAACACACTCGCGGCGCTTCCATAAATCTCTTATATTTGCAGTGCGGATTATTAGCAGGCAATAAATTATAAATATGAGTTGCAACAACAGGACGAGCATCAACTCCCATCTGAATATACGTCTATATTAATGAATTATATAGTCAGCAACCCGTGACCTTAAAACTATAATAGGAGGCGCTGGCCTAGTCGTGTATCGGACTCCTGTCACACCGCGCGTTCATTTGTCTTTCAGCCATCAGAGGAATTAATTAACGAGAGATGCGAAGGGTCTAAGTGAATGTCAAACAGCAGTCTATGTTAATGAAACACACACCTAAACACGTTTCTTCACGCTCACAAAATATACAAATGAAGGCCAAGCTTTAATAATCCGCTTTTTTTGGCACAGAAAATGATATATTTGGGCAGTTAATGTATCGATCCGCGCGGCCCCTCGAGTGCACTTTATTCCTCCGCTCGTTTATCAATGAATAAAAACACCAATACACTGTCATAATAGCAATGTTATTTGGAAGTATGACAACTATAAATTATTTTGAGGTATTTGACACTATTTAAATACTAATAATGCAATTAAATAATGTATTTTTAATGATAATTGCTCGTTTTTCGTTATATCCATGCGAAAATCTCAATCTGCGCGGGTTGTTATTGCTCACATTCTTTAAGGGTGAAATGCATTTGTAGACCAGAATTCATTTTCAGACGATTATGTTTGTGTTTTGGTTCGTTATCAATCTACAGAGACTTGTGGATGACGAATGGGCCTGTCAGAATATTGCCAGTCAAAACATTCCCCCTCCTCGCTGTGAATGCCCCACATCCCGATCCCGAGGCTTTCCAGACAGCTGCAAGTTTCTCAACACAGGCTGGGAACCCGAGGACCAGTTACACGCTTATCTAGTGCGAGAAAATAATAATGCATGATTCATCATGCAAACTAAAACAGCTGTAAAAGTCTGACGGGCATTTAGGATGAAAAAAGCTTCATTTGCGTCGTTAAACACCCATAATCTTTCCATTGCGCATCAGATTATTTCGATTATTAAACGTTCTTCACACCAGCTTACACTTTATTTTAAGGTTTTGTTAGAGTGTAATTATATATTGAGGAGTTCTGAGTAGGGTTAGGGTTACTGATTATGCATAATTTACATGTAACATATGTAACAAGGACATTAAAAAAAAGTGTTACCAAGTGTTCTTTTAGGAAAATGGTTCTTGTATGGCATCACTGCGAAAACCACCTTCGTGTTTAAGAGTGAGCGGCTGTCCGATCGCGGCGTAAACTTCTCTTTCCTTCAAAAAAGAAAAAAAAGGACTGATAAATCAAACCGGCGTGAGTGAGACAGATGCTCAGCATCACTTTTGTTGTGTCTGTCCGTCCGTCCAGAGGCACGTGCCCGCGCGGTGCGCGTGAGAGTGGGCGGAGGGCGCGTGCGCGCGGATGGAGTGTCCCGGAGTCGCAGCCTGGACTCTTCTGACAGGGTTAGTGTGTCTTTACTCGCGATCGCCAGAAACATGAGGCGCAGAACAGCTCGGCTTCTCCACTTCTGGTTGTTCTAGTTTAGTTGAAGTGGTTCTGGATCGATTCTTCGGTGAGGAAGAGCACATGAGAGTCCATCATCCCTCCTCGGTGTCGGACATGCTAAAGCCGAGCGAGCCCAGCGGTTCTGCTTTCCTCAAAGTGGACCCGACCTACATCCAGCACTGGCAGCAGCTGTTCCCACAGAACCCGGTGCCGGTCCCGGTGCCGGTCCCGAGAGCCAGCCTGATCTCCGTGAGCTCGAGCTCGTCCACCGAGTCTCCCGCGCGCTCCCTCAGTCACGCGCTGTTCGACACCGGAGCCGCTTCTCAAGCCAAAGAACTTTGTTTGTCGTCCAACTTTAAGAATGATAAAGGCTCGCGACTGAAGCTGAGCTCCGAGGAACTGGACTATTATCTGTACGGGCAGCAGAGGATGGAGATCATCCCGGTCAACAACAGCAACGGAGACGCCAATAACCGTGAGCACACACACACTCTCACACAAACACACACACGCACGCTTCGTTTCAATCGTGCATTTGAGTGATATCAGTTAACAACATGCACTTTTATGTTTAGGATTAGCTAATTGCATGCATAATTTACTGTTTTTAAATTGCTTATATAAGACATTGTAAAATAAAAAGCGTCCACGAGGAGTCGGGCTCACACTTTATTTTTAATTATGCATTTAAGTAGCATAAAGGCCTAAAATAATTAACAACATGTACTTAGGGTTTGTTGCATGTATAATTGCATTCAGTTATGTGTGCCAAAGACACTGTAATAAAAAGCGTCGCCGGATTCGGTTATAGGCTAAAGGAGAGGCGGTTTCAGTGTGTGATCATGCATGGGAACTTTTTTAATTCTCTAGTTCTTTGCAAAACATCACTTTAAAACACATGTGAAAAACGTATAAAAAATATCCCACAGTAGTCTATAACTATAATCCATATGATTCTTGAAAAAATAGGACATAATTTTCGGGAGTTTCGAATTAAATGATCGCCGTGTTTAAAAATGTTATCGGGAAAAATGTCAATTTATGTCATGTTGTGTATTCGTGCATTTGGAAGTATATAACATTTTATTTTACATTGTCCTTGTTATACATGTAGGCCTACTTACCATAGTAATGACAGTAAATTATGCATAATTACATGCAACTTACCAACCAAATCCCTATAAGTACTTACATGCTTAATATAATATTACTCAGTAATTGCACTATAACTATGACATAAAGTGTAACCAATTATACTGTGAATAATTTAGTTTTATAGTAAAATAGCTTTAGTTCTAGTTAATTTTTTTTGTTTTATCTTGTTTTTAAACGAGTTATTTCCAGGCTAGGCTAAAGGATGTGTGCAGGTCATTGAACTGAATTCTGATGAATTGATTTTATTCTCGAGTTATTGTAGAGTCTTGTTTTATTATCCGGATCAGCGCGCGACAGTTTACACGAAAATGCTAAAATTATTCTCCTAAATTAAGGAAATGAACTCAAATTAAAATGAATAGAAATAGCTTAAAAACACATTCACACTGAAGAAAAGGCTCATTTTAATCTCGGCCTTATTTTAAAACACATTTAATGAAAATTTCTTTAATGTTTTAACTGATTTGTCTATTCAAATTGACTTATTTTAATCTTATAGTTTATGTATTCAATATTTTTTTATGAGGTATCCTATCGAATCTGGGATAATTACACTTATTGTCAATGTCAGCAACTGAGAGCTGTTTTTAGCTGCTCTGAATTGAATCTTTATTAATTGCGCAAATGATTTTGGTCCCGTTATATTCCGCGTCGAACGCGCGCGCCGGTGTGTGAGCCGCGAGATGTGTGAGTGATCAGCGGATCTTCATCGATAAACGCGGGAGCACATGAGGGATGAGCGGACAACACACAATTAATTGCTGTATAGTTTTGTAGAGTGAGTCCGGATCAGTGATCGATCTCTCCATCGGCACACATTCATCATCCCAGCGCGGGACATGCGCGTCTCCCGGGGCACGAGACTGCTTTATCTACACGCGCGCTCCCGAGCCCATATTTCACAACAGATGAGCTCGTTTACACACACACACACACACACACACACACACACATGGGCTTCACAATATTCGGATGATTGCATAAGGAATTTCAGATGCACTGAACTAAATTAGATGATTTGAAAACTGAATAGAATTCTGCTTTGAGCCGCGCGCTTTATTTCTAGTGCCGTTTAATGAGCAGCACGGAGTCACAACATAGTATATACAATTTCTAGTCGTTTTATTAGTCATGCAAAAATATTCTAAAGTGTAAAAACACAACACATTTTTATAACGATTAATATAAAGTGTAAATGTTTTTACATTCATTTCTGAAGTTTTATTTATGAAAAATGTCTGAAAAATCTTCATTCATGATTTTTTTTGTATGCAAGCTTGAAGAAATATCTTCATGCACCATTTAAAGTTTGTGTTCATGAATTAATGCAAAAAAGAAATGATCTTATTTCATTTTAGCTGTATGATATTTTAGCCAAAATCAAATATAAGCACATGAACATCACGCTGAGAAACAAGCTCTATTTGTGTAACAAATCTTTATTCATTATTGTACAGTAGAAGAACCGCCTTCATGCACCATGTAAAGTTTGTGTGCATGCACTGAAGAAATAATTCAAATAAGAAACTACCTAATTTCATTTTAGCTGTATAATATTTAGCAGAAATATAAGAAATACAACCATCATGATGAGGAAAGCTCTATTTTTCGGAACAAAGCTTTAGATTTTAAGTCTTCATGACGGTTAAAGCAGAAGCAATGCATGATGCATCATTACTAACCCTATAGGTACATGCAGTTATTAATATTACTCAGACTTAAAAAGAGAATTATAAAACCTTAAATAAAGCGTGACGGGAATGTCTTCATGCTGACAGAGGAACAAGGTGTGCAAGTGACGAAGAAATAAAGCGAATAAGTTGTGTAATATTTTATTAAAGCCGTGCAAATACACACACATCTGGCTGAGAAACGAGCTCTACTTCGCTCCAGATCTGTGGCTGACCCGCAGAGGGAATGTCTTCATGCATCGTCTGACAGAGGGACAATTTAAAGTTGTGTGTGTCTCATCTGTGTGTGTGTGTGTCCCGCAGGCTGTGACATGTGTGCTGATAACCGTAACGGAGAGTGCCCGATGCACGGACCCCTGCACTCGCTGCGACGGCTGGTGGGCACCAGCGGCTCCTCGGGGCCCGTCCCCACGCCGGACGTGCCGGACTGGCTCCGGGATCTGCCTCGAGAGGTGTGTCTGTGCACCAGCACCGTCCCGGGCCTCGGCTACGGCATCTGTGCGGCCCAGCGGATCCCACAGGGGACGTGGATCGGGCCCTTCCAGGGCGTCCCGCTCACGCTGGAGAAGCTGCAGTCGGGGTCCGTCAGGAACTCACGACACTTGTGGGAGGTGAGTGTGTGTGTCAGTGCAAACTACTGAGGAACTCAGTATGAATGTGATCAAATATACAGTCAAACCGCACATGATTCAGACGCCAGATATGATGTTGATATGTTCAGGACACTATAGTTGATTTGTGTAAGTGAGGAGAGCAAAATAAAGTAAAGTGTGCCATATTCCAGCCAAATCTTCTTCATCCAGTGACTACAGTAACAATGATTCCTCCACTTTGAGCTGAAGTGTGTTTTCTGCTCTTTTTACACACACACTGAACAACATGAAGCATTGCTTGAGCTAAACTGCTATTATCTAATTGTGGAGTTCAATTGAACAGCGGACAGATATTCAAGATAATTCATGTGTGAGAGTCCAACAGAAGGACGGACAAAACCAGTCCAATATCAAACACTGAGTTCTGCTCCGACTATAGCCAATACACTGATCATGGGGGACATGAGTATATTCTGGTTTGACTGTAAATGTGTCGCTTCAATGCATCAGATAAAAGCGTGAGGAAAACCCCACACACACACACTAAAGGTCATCTGGTTGACCTCTGACCCGAACTAAGGGAGTGTACGGCTCTATACACACACATGGACAGATATGCAAAAACTTGTTTTATTTTTCGCGTGAATTCGGAAACTTGTGTGTGTTTGTGTCTTGTTTCCATCACACACATCCCAACATTCTTAAATTAATTGAACATTTGAACATTTCATTTAATATTCATCAGTATTATTGATCTCCTGCATTAACACCAGAACTGAACTGAACTGGACGATGACATCACGGTTTACTCCATATATATATATATATATATATATATATATGAACTGAATTAATAACTTTATTACAACAGAAATGAACATCACTGAACTGACTTAAGCTGGACTGTGATGACTGTGATGATATTCTCCAGACACACACACACACACACACACTGTTGCATTATTCTCCTGTTATCTCTGTAAAGCTGCTCTGAGACACACTCTGTGCTGTAATAGCGCTATAAATAAACTTGACTCGACTTAAATCAAGATATATTTACTGGAGAATCCAAATTAGTGAAATCTGAAATGCATCAAAATGAGTTTGAGCTTAAAAAAAGAACAAATAATCGAAAAAATCATCTTCATTTATGTGTCTGTCTGCACTCCCGATGCTTGTTCTTGTTTTAAACACAAACTCATTTTGACACATTGTTGATTAATCACGTCTTCATATCTCCGTCGTTCTTCTCCTCCAGTAAATGTCTGGTGATATAAGAGTGTGTGTGTGTGTGTGTGTTTGTGCTGGAATCGAGTCAGAAACACAGTGTGAGATCCACATGAAGCTCAGGCGCTTTTGTTTTTCGTCTGAAAGATGATATAGAGATGTGTTTTGAAGCGAACGCTGTTCCTGGATCAGTGTGTGACGTCAGTAAAGGACAGCAGACATGAAGGACCATGAGGCTGGTGAAGTGTAACACACACACACACTCGAGGCCGGATCTGGAGTGTGTCATGGCACAGGCTTGGGCAGACTCTGGGAGACTGTTATTGCTCGGCCGATTAATATTAATATTTCCCCTGTTAGATCATCTATTAGTTTAATATGAGCCCAACGCGGCGCTCATTACGGCCGATCCGGGTTTGATTAAGCCTGTCTGGCTCTCGCTCGCTGACCTTTTATTGACGGCGTTATTACGCTCCGGCTGTCCCGGCGCTGACGGATGCGAGTCTTGCTGGTTAAACACCTGATACGAGCCATTTGTTCAGTCAATTAGGAGAGAATAACACTGATAGCTCATCTCCTGTTTATTTAACGGACAGAACGAGAGTCATAATAACAGTCCGTTAGAGCAGCGCTGCCGTTCACAGCCGCCGGCGTCATCCGCTTCGTTATTCTGCGGGTCACACCACTTTCAGTTCAGATTATTTCAAGACTCAATTTAAACACAAACTCACTCTGTATCTTCAGTCTCTTGATTTAAGAGTGTTTGGATATTTGAGCTGGAAAACGAGACAGAAACACTGAGGAGGAACATCATGTGTGTGTGTGTGAAGAAAAGCTTCTGTGCGGCAAATTAGGTGGATACATTGATTTAGAGAAACACACACACACACACACATACACACATGAATGACCCGTATGTTCTGCACAGGTCTGATCTCACACACACACACACACACACACACACACACACACACACACACACACACACATATGAATGACCCGTATGTTCTGCACAGGTCTGATTACACACACACACACACACACATATGAATGACCTGTATGTTCTGCACAGGTCTGATTACACACACACACACACACACATGAATGACCCGTATGTTCTGCACAGGTCTGATCTCTCACACACACACACACACACACATATGAATGACCTGTATGTTCTGCACAGGTCTGATTACACACACACACACACACACACACACATATGAATGACCTGTATGTTCTGCACAGGTCTGATTACACACACACGCACACACACACACACATATGAATGACCTGTATGTTCTGCACAGGTCTGATTACACACACACGCACATATGAATGACCTGTATGTTCTGCACAGGTCTGATTACACACACACGCACACACACACACACATATGAATGACCTGTATGTTCTGCACAGGTCTGATTACACACACACACACACACATGAATGACCCGTATGTTCTGCACAGGTCTGATCTCACACACACACACATATGAATGACCTGTATGTTCTGCACAGGTCTGATCTCACACACACACACACACACACACATGAATGACCCGTATATCCTGCACAGGTCTGATCTCACACACACACACACACACACATGAATGACCCGTATATCCTACACAGGTCTGATCTCACACACACACACACACACACACACACACACATGAATGACCCGTATATCCTGCACAGGTCTGATCTCACACACACACACACACACACACAGATGTGAATGACCCGTATGTTCTGCACAGGTCTGATCTCACACACACACACACACATGAATGACCCGTATATCCTGCACAGGTCTGATCTCACACACACACACACACACACACAGATGCGCTGTTGATGCAGTGGGTCTGCGGGGCGTCTGCTGCTGGTGTTTATCCGTCCGCTGGTGTCGTGGATCTGAGTCTGTCAGTTCTTTGGCTTCTCCGTCAGAGAGTTATTCCGGCTTTTCCCACCCGGAGTCTGGAATGCTTTTCTTAGGAATATTGTACACACGTCTCTCGTCGATATTGCCCATTATCAGCCATATTTACCAGCCATGAATCAGGCGAATAGTTCAGTTTGTCGTGTTTCACGGTCGGCGTGTCCAAGTCAAATATCTCTGCGTGAGTCTCGCCCAATAAATAGAGTTTCTTGTTAGAGTTTCTGTCATGAGGTCGCGCGCATGACGGTCCCGGGACCCTGGCGGCCTGAGTAATGTGACGTTTATAAACTAAACACTCGACCTGTGCTGTTTTACTGCGGTAAATGATGCTGTAGCTCATGTGAAGTGTGTCAGAGTGTCTTCGCCATCGCTGGACTGGATCTTGATGCTCAGAAACACTCGAGCGGAGTCTGTGTTGGGCTGGTTTCTGCCACGCATTGAACATTTTAAAAAGTGATTTTTTTTATAGGGTTATAAAGTCTGAAAAACTCAAAATCGCAAGTTTATGCAGTATCTCGCAATTCTGACTTTTTTCTTGCAATTATGAGTTATAAAGTCAGAATTGTGTGAAAAATAGTAAAAATCACAAGTTTATATCTCACAATTTTTACTTTTTTCTTGCACTTAAGAGTTATAAAATCCGAATTGTGTGAAAAATATTAAAAATCCCAAGTTTATAAGTTATAAAATAAAAATTCTAAGATAAAAGTAAAAAGGCAAATTTATATCTCGCAACTCTGACTTTTTTCTTGCAGTTACGAGTTATAAAATCCGAATTGTGAGAAAAATTGTAAAAATCACAAGTTTATATCTCGTAATTCTCACTTTTTTTGAACTTACAAGTTATAAAATCCGAATTGTGTGAAAAATAGTAAAAATTGCAAGTTTATATCTCGCAATTCTGACTTTTTTCTTTCAGTTATGAGTTATAAAATAAAAATTCTAAGATAAAAGTAAAAATCGCAAGTTTATATCTCACAATTTTTACTTTTTTCTTTCACTTACGAGTTATAAAATCTGAATTGTGGGAAAAATAGTAAAAATCGAAAGTTTATATCTCGCAATTCTGACTTTTTTCTTGCACTTACGAGTTATAAAATCTGAATTGTGTGAAAAATAGTAAAAATCGCAAGGTTATATCTTAAAACTCTGACTTTTCTTTCAGTTACGAGTTATAAAATAAAAATTCTAAGATAAAAGTAAAAAGGCAAGTTTATATCTCGCAACTCTGACTTTTTTCTTGCAGTTACGAGTTATAAAATCCGAATTGTGAGAAAAATTGTAAAAAATCGCAAGTTTATATCTCGTAATTCTCACTTTTTTTGCACTTACAAGTTATAAAATCTGAATTGTGTGAAAAATATTAAAAATCCCAAGTTTATATCTTAAAATTCTGACTTTTTTCTTTCAGTTATGAGTTATAAAATAAAAATTCTAAGATAAAAGTAAAAATCGCAAGTTTATATCTCACAATTTTTACTTTTTTCTTTCACTTACGAGTTATAAAATCTGAATTGTGGGAAAAATAGTAGAAATCGAAAGTTTATATCTCGCAACTCTGACTTTTTTCTTGCAGTTACGAGTTATAAAATCCGAATTGTGAGAAAAATTGTAAAAATCGCAAGTTTATATCTCGTAATTCTCACTTTTTTTGCACTTACAAGTTATAAAATCCGAAATAAATAAAAGTAAAAATCGCAAGTTTATATCTCACAACTCTCACTTTTTTCTTTCACTTACGAGTTATAAAATCTGAATTGTGGGAAAAATAGTAAAAATCGCAAGTTTATATCTCGCAATTCTGACTTTTTTCTTGCACTTACGAGCTGTAAAATCCGAATTGTGTGAAAAATAGTAAAAATCGCAAGGTTATGTCTCGCAATTCTGAATTTTTTTTTTCAGTTACAAGTTATAAAATAAAATTTCTAAGATAAAAGTAAAAATCGCAAGTTTATATCTCGCAACTCTGGCGTTTTACTTGCAGTTATGAGTTCGCAAAATATCTCGCAAATCTGATTTTTTTCCTACAGTTATGTTTTTATATCTTGCAATTCAGAATTTTTCTTAAAGGTCAGAATTGTGAGATTTTGTATTCTTTCATGTCAGAAAGAAGCTTCCATAGACAGCAGTGTGTGCGTGCCCGAATGCATTTGATCACACACGCATACGGTGTGAGTATCTGGAAGGCCTTCAGTCGCCCGCCGTCATTGGCTGGACGCGATGATGTCATCGTGGCGCCGTGGGCCAGGATAAGTATTGTATCTTCTGTTCTATGGCGAAGGCTTGTTTAACATCGGTTTGCTGACACAGAACGCACTGTAATTTGTCACTGAAGTTATTTTATGCTTCATTTGTGTCTCTGTTGTGAGAGAAAGCATCTTTAACCATATCAGACTCTCAGTGTCAACATGAGCTTCATCTGAACGTAAAACATGCTGGTTTTCCTCCGAATTCTTCTGTTGCTTTTATTCCCGCTTCTCCTGCTCTGGAACGAGCGTCTCCGCTGTGTTTTCATTTGAGTTTTTTATGGTGGCTTCTAGTTATTTTAAGACTTGTTTAGTCTGTACTTTTCTAAACCTCGTCTGACTTTAAGCCTTTATATATTACACATATTGACATCCAGCTCAGCCTGTTATGATATTGCAGGTTTGTTCTGATAGTCTCGGAGCGCAGGGAAAAACACATCGCTAAATGCATAATGATCAAATGAAATGAAGCCTTATAATGGAGTTTAGTCAGGAGAGGAAACTAGCTCTAGATGGAGAAAACCCTGAACGCGTCTTTTGTGGATGACTAACCCTGTGTGTCCAGTTTATAAAAGTCACTTCATATTTATTTAATACTAAAACAGTATTTGTCTCTGTTTATTCTGCTGAAAATATGCTCAGTTTTGTTATTCGCTCTGTCATGTTAATAATTTTGCATATAATTAGATCTGTATAGAGTTTGTGAAAATATTAATACATTTTATTTATTTAGTTAGTTTTTTAAAAGATGTTTAATGCATTTTATTTAGGCTTTTACAGGAGAGTCATGGCAATAACTCGTGCGGTCGTGTGTGAGTCCTGAATCCGCCGCTTTATCACTTGTGTTTTCCTCAGTACACAGACTCAAAGAGTGGAACAGTTCCTCTTTATCAATCCTGCAAAACACAAAAACGTATCGAGAGAGAGACAGACATGAGGTTTGTGTTCCACTTCATTTAAACCTCTCCCTCCCTCTCTCTCAATTTCAATTTTTTTTCAATTTAATTTCAATTCAATTCTCTCTCACTCCCCCCTCCTCTCTCTCTCTCCATTGTCTTGTTCTCCAGCAAGTACACAGTCAGTTGTTAAGGGCGGGAGTGTGTGTGTGTGTGTTAATACTCCCGAAACGATAACAAGCGGCTCTATCGCCTCCAGAGACGCTCGCGGGCCGAGACCGAAGGACCTCAGAGTGTTTCCCGTGATAAAGCGTCGGCTCCATTACCCAGAGTGCTCTGCCCTCCTCACTCAAGTCAGCTTCATCTATACAGCGCTTTAACAATAAAGACCGTTTCACAGCAGCGTTACAGTGATAACAGGAGATTACAGTCACAGAGAGTGTTCAGGCTTCACAGCAGATCTACAATAAAGTTATCGTCCAGATAAAGTTAGTTTTGAATGATTCACTTCCATTGTAAAGATCGTTAGTGATTAACTTAATTTAACTGAAAACAGAAACTGTTAATGTGTTCTGGACGTTCATTCACACACAGCAGTGTTTGAGCTCGAGAACACACACACTGAAACACGATCCAAGTGCAAGTTTTGAAAAATGTAGAAAAGCGTGATCATCTCTGTGCGAACTTCAACGTCGATCTGTGAAACGCTGGCGTGTTTAGTCTATAGATATGAGCGTTTGCATATGTGTGTGCGCAGGCGTATAGTCTCACTGCACAAACTGACCTCGCCAAATTTCTTGTCCTGCTTTAAAAAGTGTGTCCATGTGACCTGGAATCATTTTGACAGCGGAGGAGGACAGCAGTGTAATGGCCGTCGGTCCTGATGGACTCGCTGTAATGAGGTCAGAGGTCAGAGTGGCTGTTAGCTCACTGTGTGTGTGTGTGTCTGGACATCGATGTGTGTGTCTCTTTACAGCTTTACAGGCTTCGTAAATGTCTGACGAGAGATTGAGCAGTAAGTAACGCAGTGACAGGAGACATCGATCGCCCGACCCTCGTTACGGCCAGCCGGCGCTTTACAACGAGAAGCGTTTGGTTTCGGGACATCAGTAGAAACGCTCTGTTCACACTGGAAACATCATGGTGTGTGTGTGTGTGTTGACCTCAGGCCGGCTCAGATCACATTAATCAGCTTTACGGCCTGTTTAGGGTTTTTCTCTCTGACAGTCGTAACCAGCGTGAGACACGCCGACCCCCGTCAGTCAGAGAGAGTTTTACACTGAACATGTTGAACCGAGATCCATCAGGATCATCTAAAGTCGAGAAGAGAAACTGTGTTCAGCTTCTTTCATCCCGAGTCCGTTTACTGACCTCAGCCGTTTTTACAATGACCTTTTCTGTTTTATTTGGATCAGAACTTTTGTGTGTGAAAACTTTGACCACTTTCAGCTAAAACATCTGCTTCAAATATAATTCAATAAGTCCCCTTGAGGTTTGAAGTTAACGGTTCAATAGAAATCTGCATTTAGGAATTTAGCAGATGCTTTTATGCAGAACTGACTTACAATAGAGGAACAAAAGCAATACGTCACAGAACCAACAATAAACAATTCGTGGAAGAGTGAACTGTAGGCACGCTTGGAGAACCCACGTGCAGCTTTATTACTTCCCAACGGGAGTAAACAAACACTTGGCTTTTGTGATACAGGTAACAGTTCTTGACACAGACACATAAGGGCTTAAATACAGACTACTAATGACTAAACAAGACACACACACACACACACCTGTGAACATGATTTGGACAATTAACCAATGACTACAAAACACAAACACTAAGGGAGTTTTTATATCCCTGAAGATGAAGCAGAAACTCAACAGATATCATATATTAAATGCATTTAGAATGGACAGGCCTTGAGGGATCAGTTGTGTGACCTGCAGAAGCTCCTGACGGTGTGTGTCGATGCTTCTGTTTCAGATCTACGATCAGGAAGGGACGCTACTGCACTTCATCGACGGGAACGAGCCCAGCAAGTCGAGCTGGATGAGGTACATCCGCTGCGCTCGACACTGCGGGGAGCAGAACATGATGGTGGTGCAGTACAGGTACTGACCCCTGACCCCTAACCTGACCTTAGCCCCTGACCACACCCCTTACACTAATTATTATTCTGTTAGGATTATATTATTTATAGTTAACAGCATGTAAAACAATAGAAGAATACAGAATGTAAGATATATTCTCACAGAATATAAAAAGTGCAAATATTACAGAATTTTATAGAAAAGGAAATTGCGATATCTTTAATTTATATCTCACAATTCAGTGTGTGTGTGAGAGAGAGAGAGAGTGAGTGTTTAAGAGTGAGTGTGTATTTGTCTGTCTGTGTGTGTGTGTGTGTGTGTGTGTGTTTGAGTGTAAGTAAGAGTGTGTGAGAATTGTAATTTTTTAATTCTGTGGCGTAAAAAACAGAATTGCTCTTCTTTTCCAGTGTTTCAATGTTAATGCGTTAGACGTACGTCTTTAACCGTTGCACTCATGTCTTGCAAGCTTTGTAATGGCTGTTTCTGTCTTGAAGTCCATAAAAGTGTATCTGTCCATCATAAAAGTGCATCCGTCCATCATAAAAGCGCATCCGTCCATCATAAAAGTGCATCTGTCCATCATAAAAGTGCATCTGTCCATCATAAAAGTGCATCTGTCCATCATAAAAGTGCATCTGTCCATCATAAAAGTGCATCCGTCCATCATAAAAGTGCATCTGTCCATCATAAAAGTGCATCCGTCCATCATAAAAGTGCATCTGTCCATCATAAAAGTGCATCTGTCCATCATAAAAGTGCATCTGTCCATCATAAAAGTGCATCTGTCCATCATAAAAGTGCATCCGTCCATCATAAAAGTGCATCTGTCCATCATAAAAGTGCATCTGTCCGTCATAAAAGTGCATCTGTCCATCATAAAAGTCCATCTGTCCATCATAAAAGTGCATCTGTCCATCATAAAAGTGCATCTGTCCATCATAAAAGTGCATCTGTCCATCATAAAAGTGCATCCGTCCATCATAAAAGCGCATCCGTCCATCATAAAAGTGCATCTGTCCATCATAAAAGTGCATCTGTCCATCATAAAAGTGCATCTGTCCATCATAAAAGTGCATCTGTCCATCATAAAAGCGCATCCGTCCATCATAAAAGTGCATCTGTCCATCATAAAAGTGCATCTGTCCATCATAAAAGCGCATCCGTCCATCATAAAAGTGCATCCGTCCATCATAAAAGTGCATCCGTCCATCATAAAAGTGCATCTGTCATCATAAAAGAACATCTATCCATCATAAAAGTGCATCTATCCATCATAAAAGTGCATCTGTCATCATAAAAGAACATCTATCCATCATAAAAGTGCATCTATCCATCATAAAAGTGCATCTGTCCATCATAAAAGAACATCTATCCATCATAAAAGTGCATCTATCCATCATAAAAGTGCATCTGTCATCATAAAAGAACATCTATCCATCATAAAAGTGCATCTATCCATCATAAAAGTGCATCTGTCCATCATAAAAGAACATCTATCATCATAAAAGAACATCTATCATCATAAAAGTGCATGAACATTTTGAGTTGAACTACTCCTTTAAAATAAGTTAAACTCGTCTCTTGTGCCTCTTTCCTCTGTGACCTCCGTCTCGCGTTTTTAACAGTAAACATGTCCTGGCTTCAGTCTGATGATCTGATGATGTGCAGAGGTCATGAACTCTGACCCCGTGATCAGCTGGAGGCCGTTCTCCGTTAGATCCAGGTCCGCCTGTTATGATTCGCAATATCTTCATGGAATTCTCTTCAAAGCGGCGCTGATGGATGGAGTCGGACTCGGCCGTGTTGTTTCGCTCTGACGGTAACGTCTGCTGGCGTCTCCCGCGCGGGGAACTTTATTACTCTTCCAACCACAATACTAAATACATGTCAGCGCGGGAAACCCAACCCAAGACGGGCTTTGATCTGCGGAGATTCATGCGCGCGCTGGAGGTGACGGCAGGCGTGTAAGAGTAGGTTTACACTCACTCTGAGTGTGTGTGTGTGTGTGTGTGTGAGGCCACCCATCGCTCCCCAAACAGCCTCTTTCAGCGGCACACTGACTCATTTACTCCCACTACATTTATTTGTGCTGCAGTGTTTACGTTGAGTGAAGCCGAGCTGAGAGACGAGGCGTTACGAGGTTCTCAAGCTACGCCGTGTTTTCTCTCTCGTGGCTCGTGAGATGTTGGTGATTTATGGACTCGGCCTTTGTTTTATTTTGATGTTGCGGTGGAAAGAATTAATAAAATGCACCCATCTCAGCACTTCCCCCCCGAGACCAAAGAGTCAAATATTTGAAGGCATTTTTCTCAGTTTAAGCCGTGCTTGATCCGGTGGACTGAGGTTAGCTGGTTTAAAGCTAGTTCACACCAAGGATGACAACGATGAAGATATCGGTTCTAAATATATAACAGAGACTATAACGATGACGGCACAGAGGAACGATATCGTCGGAATCACTTTCAGAGCGATGAATATGCAAATGAGCCCCGCCTCCACTCACTCACTCACTCACTCAGAGATCCACTGGTTGACGATCATACGTTGTAAGTCGACACCCTCGCCTCATTTAGTATGCGCGTTCTATGAATATGCAAATGAGCCCCGCCTCCACTCAGAGATCCACTGGTTGTCGATCACATGTTGATCTAATTGGTTACAAGGTGGTTTGTGACGTCGTGTTTGTGAAGCGTGTTTTTGAGACTGTCTTTGGTTCACTGCAGTTTCAGCAATGCTGTCCACTTATCAACACACACACGGTGTGTGTTAAAGCGGATTAAACACACCACACACACACATTAAATGCTGGATTTACACCACAGGGGGACTTTAAGAATTGGAGAAGTTCTTCAATCATAATGTTTTCTGAACCCTTCAAGTGAAAATAAACCGCGAGTTTGACTTCTACATGTGCTGTTAGATTATTTAATGTCAAGATAAACTGATTTTAATAGTTTTTTTAATAGCCACATGAGAATTAATGATTTAATATATTTTATAATGGATTTACGTATTTCATAGTCCGTTATAAATGCACATTTTGTTTTATAAACATTATTTAATGTAATTGAAACAGCTTTTTTGTTGTATTTTTTTAGTTTGATCAAGAATGAGTGAATGATGTGATAGAGTCACTTTGGATAAGGCAAGGCAAGTTTATTTATATAGCACATTTCATACACAGTGGCAATTCAAAGTGCTTTACATGGAAGAATTTAAAATAATCACAAGAAATCAGAATAATTAAAACAGTTTAAAATAAAAAAAATCATAATAAAAATAAATGAAGTACAGTAACAGTCGGACGAACAGTGGCACAATAAAGGTTTCATTCATTCATTCAAATAAAAACAGTTAAGAGTAAAAATAAAATAAAATAAAGTAATACCCCTACCTGAGATGGAAGAGATTGAGCTGGTTTACGGTGCTACTGGACTTCTTATACTCTCAGCAGTAACTTACTTCTTCACTCGCCTCACATAATAAATGTAATAAAATGCTAAATGATTAAATGTAAATGTGATATCTAATGGATTGAGGTGTGTTATGGTATATTTGTGTGTTCCAGGTCGTGTATCTTCTACCGGGCGTGTTCGGACATCCCTCGAGGGAGCGAGCTGCTGGTGTGGTACAACGACAGCTACACGTCCTTCTTCGGGATCCCCCTGCAGTGCGTCGCTCAGGACGAAAACTGTGAGTCTCGCAGTCTACAAGGGTTAAACAAGTCTCTGATGTCCCCAGTGTGTGTGTGTGTGTGGAGTTTTAGCTCAAAATACCCCACAGATATATTCTTATAGCATGTTAAAAGTGCTCGCTTTTCACGGGTGAGCAAAAACATGCAGTCTTTGTGTGTGTCCCTTTAAATGCAAATGAGCTGCTGCTCCCGGCGCAGAGGGCGGAGCTTCAAGAGCTCCTGTGTGTGAAAAGTTTTATGATTTTCAGTGCGTGTGTGAGGTAATCGGAGCTGCTAACACACACACACACACACTGAAAATCGTAAAACTTTTAGCCTTTTATGTTCAAACCGGCGTCAGACAAAGAGAAGAAGTGACGACACGTAGAGCAACAGGCCATTTCTGAGTGTTAGTTAATGAATTTATGATATGATGATTTATTAATTTATCTGATGTGCAGTTCACTATCTTCAAGTCATATTCTGTCATGATAATCTATAAATCTCGTTCCCGGGGGCGGGGCTTATGTAAATTCTAGAGTTGGTGATGTCACTAACCTGGGAGGAAGCTCGTGTAGTTCTACCAGCCGTTTGTTGTAGTCCTTAAAAAAGCGATTTCTGCAAAAGCAAAGGCTTGTGGAGGCGAGAGCGAGTGTGTTTACAGCACACACACTTTATGAGTTCAGTCTGGTCATCTTCTGTTTAGACAGCGCTCGTTCCTTCCAAACGCTCGAGTGCATGATGGGACGTGTGTGAGACGGTCTTCAGCGCTCGCATTATCTCATCAGAAACACTAAAAGATGTTTTTGAAATGCTGTGGTTTGCACTGCAGAAATGAGTTTGTCTGGTTTTCCAGCACATATAAACACTCTTAAATCAGGAGACGTTTACTGGAGAAGCAGAATGACTGAAGATATTAAGATGAAGTGAGTTTGTGTTTAAAACAAGAACAGAAATCTGTCAGTGGAGTCAGAAAAATACACTTAACTCAAAGAGAAAAATAAGATTATTTTCTGACTTTGTTCTTGTTTTAAACACAAACTCACTTCATTTTCATTCATTTTTCAGACTTTATATCTTTTGTGAGACCTTCATAATTCAGTTGTCCATAAATCAGTGTTGATTCAGTTCACTTCAATATTTTCAATTTTGTCAAATAATTCAGTTGAATGACAATGTAAATTTTGCAAAGTTCATTTAATTATTAAACAAATTCAATTCAGTTCAGTAATGGTGTCCCTGTTTCTTCAATAATAAAACAAAATCAATCCAGTTCAATCTAAGACAACAGTCTCATAATTTAGTTCAATGTTGATTAACTTCAGTTCAGTAAGTGTGTCGATGTTGCAGAGTTCATGAGTTATGAAAGGATAATAGTGTGTTCCAGCGAGACCGAAGCCCTGAGGAGGAGCATCGCACGAGTCGACGTATTTGATGTGTTTTCAGAGCGAATCGCTCGTCTACGACTGACGCTCAGCGGTGATCAGACGACTTCTGGAGATTCATAACTCATTCTGCATCGAATGCGCCGGCTTTATTAAATCACAGCGCTCTCACATGTCTCGTCTTACAGTGGGCTAATTCAGTGTTTATGTGCACAGCGTGCCGCGTGATGAAGAATGTGGAGCGAGGTTTGATGATGGACGTGTTTCTGTTTCGCTGTCTGACTGTAAACCGCCTGAAGATCGCAGTTCCTGATTATTTGTTTAAATGATTTAAAACACTTAAAACTAAATAATTATCTTTAGCTTTTCTGCAGCTCAAACTGTGGAGTGCTGGAGCTTGCAACGCCAAGGTCATGGGTTCGATTCCCAGGGAAAGCAAGAAGCGATAATGTAAATGTGGAGCTTGAAATGCTTTGCATAAAAGCGTCACCAAATGCATAAATGTAGAATAATATTTTATTTAAAAAATAAAACAATAATTATTTAAAAATAAATAAAAATAAAATGTATGTCAATTTATAAAATGCATTTAAATAATTTATTTATTTTTAATTAATAAACTTATTTATGAAATATATTGCATTCATGATTCAAATTATAGCTATTTACAAATACAAAAAATCTAAGAAATTAATCATTTTTAATTGATCACACATGACCATACATACATTTATAATGTATAATGTTACAAAAGATTATATTTCAAATAAATGCTGTTCTTTTAAACTTTCTATTCATGAAAGAATCATGAAAAATAATTCTTAAAAAACGTACTAATAATTATAATAATCATAACTGTGTGTTGATCATCAGATCCTCATATTAGAGTGATTTCTGAAGGATCATGTGACACTGAAGACTGGAGTAATGATGCTGAAAATCACAGGAATAAATTACACTTTACTGTATATTCACATAGAGAACTGATGATTCACATTATTATAATATTTCACTGTTTTACTGTATTTATGATCAGATAAACGCAGCTTTGGTGAGCAGAAGAGACTCTTCTTTCAGAAATTGAAAAACATCTCACCAATCATTAAACTTTAGTGTATCCATACTGTAAGTGTATCATGTGACTCTTTGTCAGATCGCCGTCATGAATGTTCTTAAGTGAGTGTGCGCTTCATGTTTCACTCAGATGTGTGTGTTCTGTTCTCTGATGTGTGTGTTGGCAGTGAACGTGCCGTCGACTGTAATGGAGGCCATGACGCGTCAGGACTCGCTCCAGCCGTTCAGCAAGAGCCCGAAGCCGTCGCCGCTGGCCCTGCGCTCCACAGTGTTCCCCCAGTCGCCCTGCTCGCGCAGCTTCTCCCTGATGGACAAGACGGGCCACATGGAGTCCAGTTTGAGCCAGCTGAGCGTGAAGAACCAGCGCGTGCTGGCCAGCCCCACGTCCACCAGCCAGTTGAGCTCGGAGTTCAGCGACTGGCACCTGTGGAAGTGTGGCCAATGCTTCAAGACCTTCACGCAGAGGATCCTGTTGCAGATGCACGTGTGCACGCAGAACCCCGACAGGTACCGCTCACTCTATATTTCTACTGCGCTTTATACAGTCCAGATCGTTTCAAAGATGGGTCTCAGTGATCAACAGTAACAGTGTCAATGCTGCAAAGCCCATCAACTATTAAACAAATCCAACTTCAGCTCTACAGAAGACAATCATGATTCAGATCAATTCAGTTGAGTGTTGATTCAATTCAGTTGTGTCAATTTTGCAAAATTCATCAATTACGAAAAAATTCTATTCAGTTCAATGACGGGTTCAATGTTGCAAAATTGATTAATTGTGAAAAATTTAATTGAGTTCAATAACAGGGTTAATGTTGCAAAGTTCATCAATTCTTAAACAAATTTAATTCAGTTAATGTAAAGAAAATAGTGTCATAATTCAGTTGATCAGTTCAGTAACAGTGTCAATGTTGCAGAATTCATCAATTTTTAAATTAATTCAAGTATAAAGCAATTCTACAGAAGACAATGGTGTTAATTCTGTTTAATGTTGATTCAATTCAGTTCAATAACTGGCTCAGTGTTTCAAAGTTCATCGGTTATGCAACTAATAGACAATAGTGTCATAATTCAGTTATATTCAGTTCAATGTTGATTCAATTGAGTTAATAATGGTGCCAATGTTTTGCTAAATTCATCAATTATGAAAAATCCCATTTAGTTCAATAACAGTGCCAAAATTGCAAAATTAATATATTATGAAACAAATTCAATTCAGCTCAATAATTTCAATAACTGTTTCGGTGTTGCAAAGTTCATCTGTTATTAAACCAATAGACAATATTGTAGTAATTCAGTTAAATTCAGTTTGATTAATTCAGTTCAGTTCAATAGTGTCAATGTTACTAAAATCATCAGTTATGAAAGAAATACAATTAAGTTCAATGTTAATTCGGTTCACTTCAATAGTGTCAATTTTGAAGAGCATTGAATGCTTCCAGTCATTGAATTTTTTTTTGTTGTAATTTAGTGTTTTTATTTATTTTGAAAAAATTGACAATATTTTGTACAATAAGAAAGAAAACTTATACGACTACTAATTCCCCTCTAACTTCGGGACATTGAGCATTATCCAAATAAAATGAATTTAGAATAACAAATAAACAAATAAAATAACGTTTCCAGTCATTGTAAACGCGAGCCAGAAACTCTGGCTAAATGCCGAAGAGCGTCAGAAGTTTCTGGAAGATTACGTTCTCTCTGTCTGAATCCGGAGTTTCTCCTCAGAAAGCCACACGAGTGTAACATCTCTAAACCTAATTAAACGCGGCTGAGGATGTATTGGAAATTTTTTGCTTAGCTCTATTTTCTCAGAGCCATAAATCCGCTGCCGCCGTCACAAAGAAATACCCACTCCAAAGGTGATGCAGAGCAAAACAGATGCCACTTATTCAATAAACTAATATTCATACAGAAGAAAAATGTTTGCGGGAGACCCGAGGAGATGAAGTCAATGTGAGGCTTTGTCAATACTCAACTTTATGACCCTGAGGCGCAGATAAAATTTAGCTGAACAAGGCAATCTGGGATGAGCCGGAGTTTGGCCCGGAAGCCGGCGTGACTCCGGGAATCTGTTTTAAATGATCTCACATTTACTTTATGGCCTTTGGCTTATACATATTTATTGATGTTTAGTTTATATGTACATTTTAGAGAGGATAAATCATGGGATCATTGCAAAAAAATGGGTTTGTGCTGATGTGTTTTGCTGAGTGTGTCTGGACTGGAGGTGTTTTTCTTGTTTTTGTTTGCTCACATCCATCACGGCGATGACGGGAAAAGCCCTGGAAAGAGCGATTCATTACGATATCGAGCAGAATTAACCAGCTCAGATAAATATTCTCCTTCTGAAAGAGGAAAGTGAGACGCTTTCACTGTGCTTTTAGTGCGCAGCCGTAAACACATGATCATGGTGATGTCTCGGTTTGCTCTGTGAGGGTTTTGGGAGCGCAGTATTGGAGATCTGAGGTTGTTTATGTCCGAGCCCGTCCTGCAGTAATAAACAATAACCGCACATTAATCACCTGTGCTGCTGTATTAATGCACACACACATCCATCATCTTAACATATTCACCGTCACTGCATCTGCAAACAGAAAAACTTCGGTCACGCTCGGCTCCATCACAGGAACGCTGTCAGTCGCGCAGATCTACAACACCTCACGCCATTCTTTTATTTTATTTAATATATTATATATATATAGGGTTTTTTGATGGGGTATTTTTATAAAATATTTTTTCTTTTTTCAAAAACAATTTTGACATTTTAGATTGATGCATAGATTGATATATAATATATTACATTATTTTATATATATAATTATATATTATGTATAATATTATAGTGTATCATGTTATATTAAACATTTTTATACAATTATAATATATATAGAGCTTTTAGATACATAATTATTTATATAATTACATATATTGTTCATATACATATATTTTATATATTATACTAATAGATTTTTTTTTTAATTATTATAATATAATTATACCTTTTTTAAAAACAATTTTACATATATTAAATATTTAAAAACATGCTCGACTACAGGACAAACGTAATGAGGGTTCCGAAAAAAACACAAAAAAGAATGTATAGTATGGATGTTTAAAATTCTAAAATGAAAAAATGTAAAAAATAAAAAATAATTTTAGAATATTAAACATAATGTGTATTTTTTAATGTTTATTTTCTTTTTTATTATTACTTTTTTCAATCATTCTCATCATAACAGATTAAAGTCAGTATAAGACTTCTTTACGATGTCGCATACTTAAATGTGTTTTACATTTTAAAAGTCTGTCAGTGATGAGAAGCGTGTCAGTGTTTCCTCACACACACACACACACACACACACACACACACACACTGAGACTGAGGCGCGGAATCATCGTTGATCTCAGAGTTTCTTCACTAACGACGAGTCGGGGTCTCTCGCGGGTCTCAGATATTGATCGATGTCCCGGAGTGTGTTCTCGCCCCGGTGCTGATGAGGGTCACGCTGCCATGGCAACGCTCTGTGTGTGTGTGTGTTTCAGACCGTATCAGTGTGGACACTGCTCTCAGTCGTTCTCCCAGCCGTCGGAGTTGCGTAATCACGTGGTCACACACTCCAGCGACCGGCCCTTCAAGTGCGGATACTGTGGACGAGCGTTCGCCGGCGCGACCACACTCAACAACCACATACGCACACACACCGGGGAGAAGCCTTTCAAGTAAGTAACAGTGAGTACCATCCGTTCCTAGAAACGCATCCTTCTGCATTCACTGTGTTACGCTTCACTCCTGACTCTCTTCATCTGAACATTAGATAGAACAGATCGACTTATCAAAACACAACGGCTTCGGGTTACTTACGCTCGCCATACACACACACACACACACACACTCTCAAACACTCCCTCACACACATGCTCAAACACACACACACTTACACTAACATACACCAACAATTTGAAAACACTAATATATATATATATATATATATATAACCTTTTAATTGTAGTTTTAAATATTTATACATTGTATATATATATTCTTTTACATTTAACTCATGTTTGCAACCTCTTAATTTTTTAAAAGTATACATTTTATGGTACAAAAATATAAATTTTAATAATATATATATATATATAATTAGAATGTTTCCTTTTTCAAAAACAATTTTTTTAATAGTTTTATTTTCATAGTAATGAATCTGATTGATGAATGTGTGTTCTGTGTGCCGTCTGGAAACACACTCATGTTAATCAGATATCATGTTATTATTTACAACACAACGAGCGTGTCGATGTGAAACTGCGTTACAGAGGAGCTCGGGTCACTCTGAGAGAACAGAGATGATGTCAGTCAGTGTGTGTGTGTGTGTGTGTGTGTGTGTGAGTGCTCCTCTGTTCCAGGAACAAATCAAGCGTCTAATAAGTAATCAGCGAAACACACACACGTGTCATCAGCGCTTCAGAGACGCAGAGCACAAACACAATCATGAAGCGCGCAGAGATCGCCGTCCGTCGATAGCGTTATTGAGTTCTCCTGATGGAGCGAGCGGAGCGTCCGATTAATGCGGCCGTCAGGACATTCATAAACTTCATTTACATTCTTGCATTCAGCACTCGCTCTGGAGAACACAACACATATCCAGATATTGATCACAGTAAACTGAGTTTGTGCTCGAAATGCTTAAAAAATATCTGCCAATATCTTGTTATTCTTCAAGCATAAACTCTCGTTCTTGTCTCATTTCCAGTGGATCTCGTTTCATGTTAAAGTACTTCATTGGCACAATTGTGTTCACATAAGATATTTGTCAGTGCATTTACAGGAAAAAAGTCATGACAAGAAATAAAATACAATGATATATAATTCATTATTGCTAAAGTAATTCGTTTGTGATTTCTCAAATGCAAGACTTTTATCTTCTTTCTTTTTGCATCGGCAGTTTTTTTTTATTACATTTAAACAATGTTCATGCATGACTGAGAATGTGAGAGGAGAACGTTATTTTGTAATTTTATTTTTAGTATTCCTGTAGTAATATTATATATATATATATATATATATATATATATTTATATATAAATATATATATATATATGCAGTTTTTACTCATTAAAGGGTTAGTTCACCCAAAAATGAAAATTAAGTCATTAATTACTCACCCCCATGCTGTACCAACCCCGTAAGACCTTCGTTCATCTTCGGAACACAAATAAAGATATTTTTGATTAAATTTGAGAGCTGTATAACTACTTTATTCGACTATTCCTTTTCTTCCTTGTAGGCCAGAAACGAGATTTGCTTAGATTTCCACGACGCATGCGCGAGAATTGTGATCTGAAGTAGTGTAAGCAGATAGCAATTCTCGCGCATGCGTCGTGGAAATCTAAGCAAATCTCGTTTCTGGCCTACAAGGAAGAAAAGAAATAGTCGAATAAACTCGTTATTTTTGTTTGTTTTTTCGCACAAAAAGTATTCTCGTCGCTTGATAAACATATAGTTGAGCCACGGTAGTCACTTGGGATATTTAAACATTTTCTTCATTGACTTTCTGGGCCGTCAAGAGGCAGTCCCTTAGGAGCCAATGTGGTAGTTATACAGCTCTCAAATTTAATCAAAAATATCTTCATTTGTGTTCCGAAGACGAACGAAGGTCTTACGGGGTTGGTACAGCATGGGGGTGAGTAATTAATGACTTAATTTTCATTTTTGGGTGAACTAACCCTTTAAAGTGAAGTTTCAGCTATATACAGAATTAAATGCAGTGTAAAGTTTAATTGTGTTTTAAGAAATATTATTGTTTTAGTGAACTTGAATAAAATAAGTTCAGAGTACTCATAACTATTTTTTTATAAACTTAAATTAATTGAGACAATCGGCTTCCTCAAATGAAATGAGTTAGCTTAACTTGTTAGGTTTTACAGTGATATACAGTGTATATATTTTTTTTAAACTCTATATTTTTTATAATTAAAAAACAAATGTAATTTTATATCCTATACATATTTATTGTATTCTAATATTTTCTTATATTATATATATATATTTTTTTGTATTTGATGATTATTATATATGTATATTATACTGTAAAAAAATATTTTCATTTGTAATCACAACATTTTTCTTTTGTCAAATCAACTTAAATAATTTATGTACTTTCTGATGATTAAATCAATCTACTTCATTGTATTAACTCATTTTTTCCTTTTCAATTAACTTAAAATTTTAAGTTAATCCAACAATATTTTTTACAGTGTATATATATATATAGATATATAGTCTTTGAAGGACAGAGAATGTAAAAAAATAACATTTAGTAATTGAATAACACATTTTATTAAATTACATTTGTCAGGAACACTGAAGCGGAGCACGTGTTCGCGACACCGAGGTCACGGGTTCGATTCCCAGGGAACGCATGTGTAAAGCTGAAGTCTGAAAGTGTTGCTGGCGTGTTCTGTTAGAGAGACTCGAGCCGCCGTCAGGATAGAGACACGCCTCTGATGAGCTTTTCCTCTTCATCTCCGTGAGTGACAGCGGGTCTGATCCGGGCCCCCGGGGGCCGCGCGTCCGTGCACATTATTGACAGGCTCACGGTTCCTCGTCATCAGGACTCGCAATTACACCTCGCGTTCCTCACGCTCTCATGTGTCAGATGTGGCTTGCTCTGTTTGACTCGCGTGTGTGTGTGTGTGTGTGCAGGTGCGAGCGATGCGACCGGAGCTTCACACAGGCCACTCAGCTCAGCCGACACCAGCGGATGCCCAACGAGTGCAAACCCATCAGCGAGAGCAGCGAATCAATCCAGGTGGATTAACTGATTGACCGGCGCCCAATTACACGGCCAGAGAAAATCATGATTAAATGTCACGGACACTTAAGCAAAACCAAAGATTTCCTGAGAGAAACGCTCAATCACGCGCACAAAACCAAAAGCAGTAATAAAATAAGGGAGATGTTAAGAGTTATCGATCCTGGCGTGGATGGGGGTGTGGATGGGGGCGGGGCCAAGGGTTGGGGAGATTATTTATTCATGAGTCGGTGAAACGAGTGTGTGTTTAGAAGACAGCAGAAACTCACGCTCTCGGTGTGTTTGTCTCGTTTTTACTTTCCTGCGCACTAACACAACCAGCAACACGTGTGTTCCAGTATCTATCATCGTTAACGTTCGGTAATAAAACACGACTGTTCATGGTTCGCTTTTTATTTGACTAATGTTAACAAATGAAGCTAAATATCTACACATTCTTAACTGGAGATTTAAGATATTATTGATCAAAATGAACACATTTCTGCCAATTCAAAGGGAAAACAAGATTATTTTCATAAGATTATTCATAGATCTATATATATTAGTGCTGTGCAACGATTAAGCGCATCCAAAATTTACATAATAAAATGTGTGTATTGTGTATATAATTATTTTATATATATAAATACACACACATGCATGTGTATATTTAAGAAAAATGTGTTATTTATATATAAAATAAATTATAAATATACAGTATATATATGCATATGTGGGTATTTATATATACAAAATTATTATACACAGCACACACACATATATTATGTACAGGAGTAACATTTATTACGATTTTTGTTCTGTAAAACAAGAGAAAAATACTAAGAGCATCATTTTCTGCAGTGTTAAGGCGTACAGACACTGATTCATATATATATATATATGATATATATATATATGTGTGTGTGTATGAGGACGTGTGTGTGTGTGTGAAGAGCTCAGCGTGTGTGTAATCGCACCATTCGGCAGCATGACTTACAAGGGCAGCGACTGCTTCACCAAAAATGACTTTTCTTTGTATAAAATGTAAATGATGAATATTATATTTCTCCCATATCATGCTGTATGGCACTTTTGACCATTATTATTTAATATTTCAGCACCGTGTGAAGAGAATCACAGCAGACTGAATGTTGATCGTTTACTTTGTTATTGAACTTTCTATCTTGTGTTTCTCAGAGCTTTACTATGATTACGAGACACTTTTGAAGTCCAGAAGCTTTATGATGTTTCACTCAAACCAAAGTCACTGAATGGAAATGAGCTCCTTTTCTAAACACACAGAATCTATTTTGTTTTTATGAATCATGTGAAAATCTGTGCTGTATTTTACAGATGTGTTCGGCTCAATCCATCTTTTGTTTGCATGATTTCAACATTTTTGTACATAAACAACAGGCCAAAAAATGTTGTTGTGAATAAAGTAATGACCAAACTTTGACTAACATCAAACTGGTTGACTGTACTCTATGCTCTTTAAATGATCGTGATTTCATTGAATATTTCATTCAGGTCAGTCTTGTCATATCTGAAGTCATTTCGCTTCTCAATTAAATGAAGAGACTAAATTATTTAGTAATTAATAATTATATTTATATATTTTTAATGGAGAACAAAGCAAAACTACTAAGTAAAAAATATATTTTTTTGTTGATATTTTCAATGGACAACAAAGGGGAAAAAATGGTTAATATTTTTTTTAATGGACAACAGAGCAAAAATAATAAGTAAAAGAAAAAACATTTTGGAGTTAAGAATATATATTTATGTATGTTTAATGGACAGCAAAGCAAAAATACTAAGTAAAGCCCATTGTTTTGGCGTGCAGCTCCTGAGTTCCTCTAAGGTATTTGCGGCTCCCGTTTGCCTCTTCAAACACACACACACACACACACACACACACACACACGTGTGAGTATGTGTCTCTTGTAGAAGTATGATGTCCGTCTTCAGCCGGTGTGTGTTTCGGGTTCAGGTCAGGTCCCCCAGCGGTCTCGGCTCACACATGTGACCCGCACAACCTGAACACACCACATCTGATTTATGAAGCGCGCGCCTGAACACACTGATGTGGAGCTCGAGCGCGCGCGCGTGTGTGTTTCCCGCGCGCTGATAAACGGGGGAACGATTGGACCGTATTACGTCAACATTATTTCTAACGGTTCTGGCGATGTTTTGTTTCATTTGGCTCGTGTATTACAGCAATACTTACTCTCAATAAAGTTCTGGAAA